ACAGATCCAGCAGAAATCCAAAAGATCATCAATACCTACACTTCAAGAACCTGTACTCTAATAAAACAGAATACACTGAAGAAATGGAAGGATTTCTTGATATTTATGAATTACCAAAGTTGAATGAAGATAAAAAATTTCTAAACACCCCAATTACAATCAGTGAAATTGAAAACATGATTAAAAGTATACCAACTAAGAAAAGCGCAGGTCCTGATGGCTTCACTGCAGAGTTCTACAAGACACTTAGAGAAGAACTACTGCCACTACTACTGTTTAAATTTTTCAATGAAATTGAAAGGGAAGCAATACTTCCAAATTCATTCCTGGAGTCAAGTGTTACTTTGAGTCCAAAACCAGGGAAAGACCCCCCCAAAAAAGAGAACTACAAGCCAATCCCCCTAATGAACACAGACGCAAAAACCTTCCATAAGATAAAACAATAAATGCAATACACTATATTAACTGAGTCAAGGACAAAAACCATATGATCATCTCAACAGATGCAGAAAAATCATTTGACAAAATTCAATACCCATTCATTATAAAAACCCTACAGAAAATTGGAACAGATGCTCTTTTGTTTGTTTGTTTGTTTTTTGTTTTTTTGAGACAGGGTCTCACTATGTAGTTGAGACTGACCTGGAACTCACTGTGTAGCCCAGGCTGGTCTCGAACTCAGTGATCCTCCTACCTCAGCTTTCCGAGTGCTGGGATTACAGGCATGTGCCACCACGCCCCGCTGAACAGATGGTCTTTATCTCAACTTTATAAAGCCTATCTAGGAAAAACCAACAGCCAACATCATATTTAATGGCCAAAAACTAAAAACCTTCACGCTAAAATCAGGAACAAGACAAGGATGTCCACTATCATCACTCCTGTTCAATATAGTTCTGAAAACATTAGCCACAGCAATTAGACATAAGAAAGAAATTAAAACAATAAAGATAGGAAGGAAGAAGTTAAACTGTCTTTTTTTTTCTTTTGAGACAGGGTCTCACTATGTAGTTGAGACTGACCTGGAACTCACTGTGCAGCCCAGGCTGGTCTCGAACTCACAGCGATCCCCCTGCCTCACTCAGCCTCCCGAATGCGGGGGTTACAGGAGTGCGGCACCATGCCCGGCTAAACTGTCATTATTTGCTGACAACATGATACTCTACATAGAAGACTCAAAAAACTCTGCCAAAAGACTTCTAGACTTAATTGATACTTTCAGCAGAGTAGCCGGAGATACAAGGTCAATACTCAAAAATCAATAGCCTTCTTGCACACAAATAACAGACTCACTGAGAGAAAAATTAGGGAAACAATTCCTTTCACAATAGCATCCCAAAAAATGAAGTATCACAGGAATCAATCTAATGAAAGAAGCAAAAGACCTCTACAGTGAAAACTATAGCAGCCTGAAAAAAAGATCAAAGAGGATATAAGAAAATGGAAAGATATCCCCTGCTCCTGGGTAGGAAGAATCAACATAGTGAAAACGGCCATACCACTAAAACTGCTATATAGATTCAATGCAATCGTGATTGAAATTCCAAGAGTATACTTCACAGAACTAGAGAAAATAATCCAAAAATTCATTTGGAACCAGAAGAAACCTAGAACAGCAAAAGCAATTCTAGGCAACAAAGACATGGCAGGGGGTATTCACAATCCCCAACCTGAAACTATACTACAAAGCCACTGTGATAAAAACAGCATGGTACTGGCAAAAAGTCCTGAGGATCAGTGGAATAGATTGGAAGACATAGAAACTCCAGATGTACTCAGCCACCTCATCTTTGACAAAGGAGCCAACCATCCTCAATGGAGCAAAGATCGCCTCTTTAATAAATGGTGCTGGAAAAACTGGATTTCAGTCTGCCAAAGACTAAAACTAGATCCTTATCTTTCACCATGCACTGAACTAAAATCCAAGTGGATTAAAGATCTAAATATTAAAACAGAAACACTAAACTTGCTGGAAGATAAGTTAGGCAGAACTTTCAAAGACACTGGCATAGGAAAAGACTTTATGAACAAATCCTCAGTAGTGTGGGAACTAGCACAAAGAATCAACAACTGGGATCTTACCTTATTAAAAAGCTTCTGCAACGCAAAAGAAACCATCAACAGAGCTAAGAGAACCTACAATGTGGGAAAAAATTTTTGCCAGCTGCTCTCAGACAGAGGACTATTATCTAGAATATATAAAGAACTCAAAAAAATCAGGCCCCACAAATATAAAGACCTGATTCAAAAATGAGCTTCTGAAATGAAAAGACATTTCTCAGACAAAGAAGTAAAAGCAGCAAGTAAATATATGAAAAAATCTTCCACATCACTGGTCATTCAAGAGATGCAGATTCCATCTCACCCTAGAAAGAGTGGCTGCTATCAAGAAATCAACCAATAACAAATGTTGGCAGGGTTGTGGGAGAAAGGAACTCTTCTCCATTGTTGGTGGGGGTGCAGGCTGGTGCAGCCACTGTGGAAATCAATATGGAGATACCTCAAAGAACTGGGACTAGAGGTTCCATTTGATCCAGCTATCTCTCTGCTGGGTATCCTTCCAAAAAAATTAAAGAATCATACCACAGGGATACATGTTTATAGTGGCACAGTTTGTAATAGCTAAAACTTGGAAACAGCCCAATTGCCTGCCCATCAATTGGAGACTGGATAAAGATGTGCTTTTTCTATAAAATGTAGTACTACTCAGCCATAAAGAATTAGAAACTAGAGTTATTCATAGGAAAATGGATGCATATTGAGGCCATACTTTAAGTGACATAAATAAGACACACATATATAAATACTGAATAGTTTCTCTGGTGTGAAAAACTAAAAGAGTAAATAAGATCCAAATTGTATAACTGACACTGGGAAATAGGAAGAAAAGGGCTAAAGGTGTAGGGGAAGTGGGAAGGGTAGGGGAAAGGCAATAAGGGAAAAGAAAAAATATGAGAAAAGGAAAAAATGGAAACAAAGTTTTGTAAATAGGGGAGGGTGGAGGGGGTAAAGGGAAGGCAGGGGTATGGGGAAAAAATGAGAACCAAGACCTGTCATGTAAAGGTACAAGATCCCAATGATGAATGTAATTTACTGTATTCTTAAAAAATACCAATAACCTCAATGAAAAAGAGAGAGAGAGAGCTCTTGTGGGCTAGGCATGGGGCTCAATCGGGCTAGGAGTAGTGACACATGCCTGTAATCCCGGCACCTGGAAGGCTGAGGCAGGAGGATCGCTGGAAGTTTAACTTAGCGAGACCTTGTCTCAAAAAAAAAGGCGGGGGGTGGCGCTTGCCAGGGATTTGGCTCAGTGGTTCCACCATCTGCCTCACAAGCACAAGGGCCCTAGTTTGATCCCCAGTACCAAAAAAACAAAAAGCTGTTATATATCTATTAAAACTTACCATATAAAAATAAAATTCATTTTTAAGTCACTGAAAAAGAATAATCCCATGTTAACATACATCACTCAACTAGAAAAATTAAAACTGTATTCTTTAAAAAACTTTTAAGAGCTAAAGGTGTAGCCAGTGGTACAGCACTTGCCTCCCAGGCATGAGGACCTGAGTTTGAGTCCCAGCATGAGAATGGTGGCATCATTGTCTAGTTTCACAAATGCAAACTCTGCCTGCCTTAATAAGATAAATGAATTCTTAAATCTACTTCTACAGTTTATCTGTTCCATTTTTGGAGTACATAGAAAACAATACAAATCCTCAAAGAGATATTTGGAAAAGGAAGGAGCAATGTAACTGGTGAATACATAGTCATCAAAAGCGGACACGTAGTTAAGTTTCATAAAGGTCAGTGGCAGTGTAGAATCTAAAATCACACCAATGAGCCGTCCCCTCTTGTGTCACATTAAAAGCTTGAGGTCTAGCTTGTATTTTGAATGGACTGTTTATCTGCACATGGCCTTGCACATCTTACACTGGCCACTGGGTAAATACTGGTTCACTGTGTTACACAGATCCCTCTCGACTGTGATACACTTCCTTGTGTAATGTAAGAATTACATTCATTAGTACATATTGATGTCACTAGAAAAGCCTTTTAAGTTTCAGAAATCTGTTAAGACCACAGTGGCAGATAAATTTTCCAAAACTATAATTTTTAGTTGAAAACTCAACAAATGCTGTCAGTAGTTTTCCTTGAAATGACAGGATCATTTCATTCATTTTCAGGAAAACACTTGGTAACTACTGAATAATCAAGCCTGATAATATGCCTGTTCAAGTAAAAATAGTGTTTCCAGGCCGGGGATTTAGCTCAGTGGTGCCATGCCTGCCTTGCAAGCTCAAGGTCCTGATTTCAGTCCCATGTACTGCCAAAAAAAAAGTGTTTCGTTATTTTATTTAATAAATTTTATTTTATCCCATTCTCCCCCAATGTAAAAAGCTTTGTTTCCATTTTTCCTTCTAAAAAATGGAGTTTCATTATATAAAAAAAGTCAGCTAGTTCAACTCTCCACTGAAACCAGTGTGCACCCAAGTGCTCTTCCTCAAGATGGCTGCAGTAGTCGGCACACAGACGCTCTACACTCGCCTGCCTGTCACACAGCATCCAACACGTGACCCTCGAGGACTGGGCCTTAATAAAATGATTTCTACTAATTATCAAGGACACTCTTAAACTGAAATTAGTCTTTCTCCCTCACACATATATGAGAGGCAATGCAAACACCACGATTACTCAGATAAACGAGTGTCCCCGTCTCGATCCATGTTAAGGCACTAGCATTTCCATTACTTCCGGTTTTGCATCACCAGTGTAAAAGCCAACACATTAAAAGGCTAAAAAGATCAATGACATCTTGGTATTGTTATGAAGAGAACTGATACTATGTAAATGGCTCCTAAAAAGGATCTCAGAGACCCCCTCCAACTTTCTTTGAGCACTACTGCTCTAAAATACTTCTGGCAAGGATACATTCTGTTACTCCTATATAATACAAATAGTAATAAATCTAAGCAAAACACACTCAAAAAATACCCTCTTACCTTTGCCAAGACTAAAAACAAATGGTTCATTTCTATCGTGGCTGGAATCAAACTTCTTTCCATTTGACAATTTTCCTTTGTAATGGACGTAAACTCTGTCACCAATCATTGGTTTTTCCTCACTATTCCCCACTCTTTTGACAATCTAGAAAAAACAAACATCAAAGAAAGGCAGGTGGAACTTTTTACTCATAATCAGAAAGAAAAAGGCAGTACAGTCTATTCCAAGTCACCAGGCAGACTTACAAATATCCTCTAGCTCGTCCTCACTAAAGGCTTCCTTCACAGTTCTTTCAGTAACCCTCCCTGTCGGAAAACTGTCCTTTGATAATCCTTTATATTACATTCAGTTGTATTGCTTTTTATTTATTACATTATTCCCTGAAAAGAATTAACCAACAAATCCTGCTCTATTGGCTTAAGGCTCTGTATGTGTACACTAACATCTCTCAAATTGCAAACATGTGGGTTAGTCCACCTACAAATTGAATTAGGTTCAAAAGACTGTTGGATTTGGAAAAACAGGCAAAAAGAAGACAATTTTCACAAGTACAATTCTATTTACTTCCCTCCTTTGCTAACATTAGCTTATGTCTACATTCTGCCAGTTTAGTTTAATTTCAGAAAGCCCAGTATACTGGTATAACAGGTTATACTTATTTGAAAAATATTCAATCTGCAAAATACATCAGTATAACTGCACAGTTTGATATAATACTAAATAACATGTTTTCTAGTAAAGGGAGTGCCAAAAAAAAGGTCCAAACTGAAAAATATTTAGCTACTGTAAATCCAGTATACGGTATTTATTTTGTTCTTGGCACAGCAGCTCCTAATGCAGTTGGGTCAGTTCTTGGAAAAGAAAATCAAATCCAGACATGTGGTAGTGTAATTTACCCTGTCAATCAGCTAGATGAAATCAATCATTTTTAATAGATAACAGAAGATAATAGTAAACATCCAATGAACACCTTTTTTGGGGGAAGGGTTTGTGTTTTTATTTATGGAACTCAATTTGCTTTTAAAATTCTTCTCTGGGATGTGCTTCCCTTTCCACCCAATCCCGCCCCATGTAAACACTGTGAACTTAAGATTCCACAACTTTATTAGCTCAAAGGCCCAGACATTCTTTAAAGGAAGAGGAACATTGATGCCCTTCTCAAACTTCGAAAGAAAAAGAAAGTTTCAGAAAACATTAATCTAAAAGAAACCATGTGACATTCTAAAAGTGCTCATGGTCATGCAAGTGTGTGTAATATGTGGGAGCCCTGTGCTTGGTCATCAACAAGAATCTGCACCTAAAAGACTGAAAACAAACAACTGATGATACAGGATGAACGGCCACCACCAGTACAGCACCGGGTGTCACTGCAGGTGTCCCCAGCAAGGTGAACATGTGCCTAAGTCTGGAGCTAATCCAAAGACGGGATCTAGTCTTGACTCATTTGAAAAATCCAGGGCCAGGGATTTAGCTCAGAGGTTCTGCTGCCTGCCTTGCAAGCAAAAGGACTCAAGTTTGATCCCCAGTACAAGAAAAAAAAAGAAAGGAAGGAAGGAAGGAAGGAAGGAAGAAAGAAAGGAAGAAAGAAAGAAAGAGACACACAGAAAGACAGACACACAGACAGAAAACTGCCTTGGTCTTTTTTTTTAAGGGTATAATAGATTACTATAGGACAGACACTGTAGTAAGTGCTTTACCTTATCCTGATACTGGTAGTATTTTTCTTTTTTGTTGTTGTTTTTTCATTATTTTTCTAAGTTTCTACAGACAGGAATCAAACAGAGAGGTTAACTAAACTGCCTTAGGGATGGCAAACCTTTTAGAGCTTTCAATGATACAACCTATGGTGGCACAAGAGCCACAGGTTTGCCACCACCACCTTAGGTCATATAGTTACTAGGTCTATTTTTGATTGATTGATTGATTCACTGATTGATTGAGATAGGGTCTCAACTCACTATGTAGCCCAGATGGCTTTGAACTTGCCTCAGCCTCCTAAGTGTTGAGTAGGTCTATTTTTAAACTCAACCAAAGCCCCATAGAAAAACTGAGGCTCTAGACAGTGATAAATAACATGATTTAAAATAAAAGACTTCTAGGGCCTGGAATGTAGCTCAGGGGCACCGTGCCTGCCTGGCAAGCACAAGGTCCTCGGTTTGATCCCCAGTGCCACAAAAAATTAAAAAAATAAGACTTCTAATCTCAAAGATTCCTTATAAATCTAAAGCTGCTGCTATTAGATTTATTCCCTATAGCAACACATGGAGTGCTATGGTTTGTCCATGCTGAAACTCATACTGAAGTTTGATTGTCAACTGTTGCAGTGTCAAGAAGTGGGCCTTTAAAGGAGATGTGGTTTTTCTATAAAATGGAGTACTACTCAGCCATAAAGAAGGAGAAATTAGATTCATTCATAGGAAAATGGGTACATATTGAGGATATACTCCTAAGTGAAATAAATAAGTCACACATGTGTAAATACCGAATAGTTTCTCTGGTATGAACAAACTATAATAGCACATAAGATCCTAATGAGATAATTGACAATGTGAAATAGGAAGAAAAGGGCTAAAGGTGTAGGGAAAGTGGTAAGGGTAGGAGAAAGGTAATAAGGGAAAGAAAAAAATAGGAGAAAATGAAAAAATGGAAATAAAATGTTTGTAAAGGAAGAGGGGAGGAGGGAGTGAATGGAGGGCAGGGACAAGGGGAAAAAATGAGAACCAAGTCCTGTCATGTAAAGGTACAAGATCCCAATAATGAATGTAACTGTACTGTATACCTAGAATGTACCAATAAACTCAATGAGAAAAAAAAAGAAGTGGGCCTTTAAGAAGCAGTTAGGTAGTTAGTGGGATTAATGTGTTTCTTGTGTGAGTTCTGGCTCTACAGGGTTTGGATTAACCATAGCAAGTTGCTATAAAGCTAGTCCACCCTTTGTGTTTTGTCTTTTCCACATGTGCCTGATCTTCTGCCTCCTATCATGAACTGATGGCCCTATTAGAAGTGAAGATTCACATGGACTTCCCAGACTCCAGAACTGTGGGCCAAAATAAATCTCTAGTATTTGCAATTCTCCCAGCCTCAGGAATTCTGTTACAGCAAAAGCAGACATACTAAGACCCAGGGTCAGAGGCAAGTTAGGGACCTTGTCCTTTGAATATGGCGACTCTGAAAAGATGAGGTAGAAGATGCTAAGGACAGATACAGAATCTCCACTGTCTCTAAAAGCATCCTGGAGTGTGGAATGAATAATTATAACTAAAAGGTTAGAACCCCTCCCAAGAGGATAGCATGATATAAATCCATAGCACAAAGCTCTTATTCTACAGCTGTCAGTCCCCAAATTTGGCTTGGCTCATAGCAAGCTAAGAGGGATACGTATACATTTAAAGAGATCCAGGCACTGAAGAAACACTTTCACAGAAGCAAGATCAGACAAAACAAACTTGTATTGCTGACACAGGAGGCACTGAAAGTAGCAGTAATATGTGGAATGTAAGATGATCTTTTAAAAAACAAAACAAAACAACTCTACGAAACTTGCATCTGTAACACCGATGTAGGAGAAATTCATGTGAAAGCCTTCAGTGTACAGTATTAACTTATAAAATAGAAGAATCAAGAGGTGCTTATTGTCTCACAACACCATTGAGAGATACAAATAAAAACAGATGAAATTATTAACTATATAGTGAAAAAATACAAGTCAGTTTGCCTGGCATCATGGTGCATGCTTGTAATCCCAGCATTCCGGAGGCTGAGTCAGGAAAATCACCACAAATTCGAGGCCAGCCTGGGCTACACAATGAGTTCAAGGCCACCCGGAATTACATAGTTAGACTCTGTTTCAAAATAACCTCCCCCAAAAGTGGTTTTAGTTTTTGTTTTGTTGGGGTATTTTTGGTACTGGGGATCAAACTTGAGTTTTTGTGCTTGCGAGGCAGGTGGTGGAACCACTGAGCCAAATCGCTGGCCCAAAAGTGTAGGTTTTAATAAGGAGGAAAGCAAACTCAAAAGTAAGACATATTATCTAATGATACCCCCATAGTCACTGAGCACAGGAACACTATTAGTATGTTGAAAAATCCTTTTAACTTTACAATTTAACTTTTTCCCTTTCTAAAAAGTCTTTAAAATTATCATTAACTAGCTTTGATATACTTTTTAAAAAATGATACATTAGGTTAGTAACTCATTTGTATATTCTGAGTCAGGGAGACACAGCCTTTTGGAGCGAGATGTAACTTGGACCCGAACCCCAGGATCTGCACTTACTAAGCTGCATGATTACCAGGACAAGCTAATTTAAGTAGCCAGGCCTCAGTTTCAGCATCTACAAACTGAGATTAAAATAAAAGCCCCAGAGTTAAGAAGAAATAAGAATCTATCTATGGTATTTGGCACTTAGTAAGCCTTAATAAATATTACCCATCCTCATCCACATTTGATAGACTGTCTTTCAGAAAGCAGATTTCTCTGTATGTTACTTTTGTAGCCTCACCTTTAATACCCCTCTGTCTTTTTTGGGGGTGACATCCTCTCCCTGTTCAGCAACAGTGGCTGCTGGGCTTTCTCCACTGTTCTTGGCAGCTTCATCAGTAGTCATTGTCTTTTATAAGTAGGAAACCTGTCAGAAGATACATATTTTAGCCAGGGAAAATATTACTACTTTATGTATATTAAATGCCCCTGGGAACTGAGCTTCCCTCCACCCAAGATTTATTTAGGGCCAATACAGGTTAGACACTGAAACGAAAAGAAAAGCATCTATGATCAGGCACTGATGTCATGAGCATGTCAATAAAACATCATTCGATTCCTCAGCTTCTCATCTAGCTCTGCCCCAAATGAAAGTGCAATATAAGCGTTTCGGCAGTGATTATGTTCCTTAACATGATTACAAGGAGGACAGCACAGCAGTCCTCTCAGGACTTTGAAAAATGGTCTTTTCCAACAGTCATATGCTTGACAGAAAATTAAGAACTTATCGGGTGACCTGACGAGAGAAGTGACGCAGCATCACCGCAGAAGCAGGATAGGCTCTAGAATCCGACAGACCGAGTGTGAGTCAAGCTCCGGCTTCTGATGTTTTGCCCTTAATCTTACTGAGCCCCCAGTTTCTCATCTGTAAAATAGATACAGTACACTGCTCGCCTTACCGTGAGGCGTCAATGACATACAGTACAAGATTTGTACCTTAAAAATTAAGCACGGACACTGTCAGTTTGCTGTGGGACCACATTTTTCATCTCCTGCAGAACAGGTGCTTCCCAGTGTGGCCCTAACCATCTCTCACGCGCAGCCCCTCCAGCCAAACCAGCCCGCTCCTCTCCTATACCAGGGCCTGCGCTCTCCCCCACGCATGCCTGGCCTACTCTTCTCCTCTCCACACGCTACGTTCAGCATACTAACCCCGGCCTTTTCTATACTTCCTTAAAGCTTCCCTCAATTTGCTGTGCATAATTTATTTCTAAAAGACAGGACTGATAGATTTAAAGGCCCTTGAGAGCAAGGGCCGTGCTTTTATACTGATTCCCTAGAATGCCTCAACCTTTTAGAATGGTAAATCAGAAACAGCAAGAAATTTAGAACTTCAAGGTTCTTCCTCTGCTCCTTACAATGTTTGCTATTGGCTGCTTTAACTTCTCAAGTCTTTTTTTCCCTACCTGTGTAATTACAATAAAAATATCACTTTCTCAGGGTCATCTGAATTAAATGATATGTATCATGTATTTTTAAGTATACTATTCAAAAAATTAGCTCGTATTATTATCAGTCAGGCCAAAGACACTTTTTCATGCAAAGCAAACAGGTGTTACCAACAGGCTCATCAGTAGGATAAACAAACACCTGGCCACTCCCATGATTAATCCCACGCTGCTCCCTAGTCGAGCGAGGAAAATCGAGAATTAACCACTTCTGTAGGTATTCCATATTAATCTAATAATACATGTAAGGTTCCCTTCAGTTACCACCTAGGCCCTCTTGTCTACACAGTCAAAAAGAGCTATTTTGCACTTTTGAATATTCTTACAGATACAACCAATAATTAAGACAACTAAAACATATGTTATAGCGTTTTAAGTCATTTTCAAATTACCTAAATTTACTTCAGTGTCAACAAAGACACAAATCAAATTACTTGTGCCCAAGAATCTTCAAAGAGATCACCAAAATCCAGCGGCTAAGCCCTTTTGCTTGATTTTCTAGGACAGTTTATACCAAACATAAAAGATCCAAATGTTTGGCTAGAGATAAGTGAAAGGCCAGAACAAACTGTTCTCAAACAAACAACAAAAATTAAGTACCTGGCTCTACACAGTGTGGAGCTAGGTGATCAGGAAATTAGATGATCAGGACTGGCTCTCAGCTCCTAGAAACCCACCATTTATAGCACATTTTTCTGATACACTGAAACTTATAGACGGCAACTCAACAGAGGGGAAAATCTTGTAAATATTTTTGGGGCCTTGGAAAATGCATGCACGTAAAAACATTTCCTGGGGCTTCATAGATACATTGACACCCATCAAAAGACCCCTAGAGTAAGCCGGGCATGGTGGCGTATGCCTGTAATACCAGCTCTTGGGAGGCTGAGGCAGGAGAATTGCTGTGAGTTCTAGACCAGCCTGGGCTACATAGTGAGTTCGAAGTCAGTCTCAACTACATAGTGAGACCCTGTCTCAAAAAAACAAAACAAAACAAAAAAAAAGACCCCTAGAGAAATTCAAAGCAATGAAGAAGTTAAAGCCATCAGGTGAAAGTTTATGGGGAAAAAAAAAGACAGCCACACCTTCTCAAATTACCACCCTACAAATTATGACATTAAAAAAAAAAAAAAAAAAAAAAAAAAAAAAAAAAAGAATGAAAGAAAAGAAAAGGAGGCTGGGCCCAGTGGTATCTGCCTGCAACCCCAGCTGCTCACAAGGCTTGGGCCAGAGGATTCCAAGTTTCAGGTCAGCCTGAGCAAGATCCATCAGAAAAAGGGAATGGAAAAAGAAAAACAGACCTTTCCAGAGAAGTGATCTAATCCGTATCCCCTGAAGTGATCTGCATCATAACCACACTTCAACACCAATAATGAGACAAACTCGTATTACTATTTCTCTGGACTTGACATAATAGGAAATATGTAGTACCTACGTGTATTCTTATTAAAAATGGTTCAATGGAAACTAATCAAGAAAAACCTGGGCACCGTGGCACACACCTATAATCCTATCACTCAAGAGGCTGAGGCAAGAGGATCTCTGCAAGTTTGAGGCTGGCCTGGGCTATGTAGTGAGTTCAAGACTAGCCTGAACTGCATAACAAGACCCTGCCTTAAAAAAAAAAAAAAAAACAACTAGACAATATTAGATTATGGAGCATTCTACAAGACAACTGGTCTAGACTCTTCAAAAAAATGTTAATATTATAGAGGACCAGAAGGAGAGGAGATATTGTTTGCTCCAGATTAAAGTAATCAAATGTAATGGGTAATCCTTGGCTGGATCTAGGATTAGGGAGACAAAATGTTACAAAACAACATTGTGGATTGAACTGGAAAAATTAGAAAAACAGACTGTATATTAACTTACTATTGCTGTGTGACATCAGCTTTCTAGTGTGAGTTTGCATAGAATACTATTCTTGTTTTTACGGGACACATGCTAAAGTATTTAGGGGTGAAGCATCATTAATGTGTGTCACTTTTTTGTTTAAATTCCTTAACCAATACATAAATACATAAAAGCTGTGTTTTGCCACTTATTTCTGAATTATATAGGCAACGCCTTCTTTTGAATGGTCACCATTTGGAGTTCAGCAAAATTTTTGAATGAAAAAACTATCAAACTCTTTTGGTTCTAAACTTACTGCTGTACAAACAATGACTTGCTTAAATTCAAATCAAGTGGGAACTTGTATAAACTGAACTAGGCTTTATAAGTCCTGTTTGATAAAGGAACCTACTCTTCATTTTCGGTTCCCACATTTCAAGGGATGCGTCAGTACCACTGGGCTGGTATGAAGAAAAGTACTAGGAATAATTAATATATGAAAACAATTTCTTTCTGAGCTTTCAAAGGCAAATCTGAAAATAAAACTGAATTTTCAAAGTATTTCATCTTAATTATATTGAGGTCATTAGGAATGTAGGTAAAGAAAACAAAAATTCTTTTTACTTTATTGAGCATTACATAAAAAGACAGTAAAAACAGACAATTCGTAAAAACCTTTAAGATGAACTAAAAGTTTCACTGGTGTTATGAGACTTCTTTTTTCCTCTTTCCTAGATTTACTGTGGATTTAAAATCACTATGTAGCTATGGATATTAATCTACAACAAAGCTTATTATTATGCTGCACCATCCAAAGCAGGGAGATTGCTGTCCAGTACACGGGGAAGGGAGCACACAGCATTCTGTGACAGACATGCCAGCTAAGCATGCACTCTCCAAAGTGCTAGTCAGTAAACACCTGAGACACCATGGAAAAATGAAGACACGCACGGTGTTTCACCAACAGTGTGCTGAAAACTTCAGTTAACATGACTAAATTATTAGATTCCCTCAAATGAGAAGTTACTTTAATGCCTTGCCCATTTTTTCCTCATATATTCACTGTGTTGTTCCCTTTCTAACAGAAGACTCTGCAGAAAGAAGAAAAGAATATAGGAACGGGGTACATTGTTAGAAGCACTGACACTGGTATCAGTGTTATTTCTAAGCACTACGGATATCTTTTGGCTTCCTATAACTAAACACTAAGAGAAAGAAGACCCAGGGAAGAAATGTAACCTAGGCCTCTTAATGAAATGCAATGCAACTGAACCTTAATTTTGAAAAGTTCTGTAAGGCTAGATTGGAAAGCCATCAAATAAAATTTCAACCACAGGCTTCTCTCAAATATTCTAATCCAGCAACACAAGAGTATCAGGAATAGTTATCTATTTGTAGATAAGATATACTTATGAAAAAAAATACTGTATTCATGCAGAGAAAATAAGATCATAAACAGACTGCATCTACAAGAATCATGCGCTTCATTTATCCAAGTACTTTTCCTGGGGAAGTTTCTCTCTTCCACACTGGGGTGGGGTCGGAAGATAAGGAACAACACTCCTATACACACTCATACACATTATTTTTTAAGGTAAAGCATGAAATGTTATACATTTAGCCAATAAGCAAATGACAAAAGGCTCACCATCATCAGGAAATACACAGTAAAAGCATAAGACAATACCGCTTCACACCTATCAGGGTGCTGTCATAAAGAAGGTGAAGGTTGCTTGTAGTTTGCTACTCCATTGCTTTGCTCCCCTCTGCCTGTCACGGACTGTGACTTCTCCAGGCCACCCTTTCCTGGAGTCAGCCAACTATGAACTGAACCTCTACAAACTGTGAGTCAATTAAACCTTTCTTCCTTTAAAAGCGGGGGTGGGGTGGATAAAACATTTGGTGAGAATGTGGAAATGAGAAATCCTTGTGCACTGCTGATGGGAGGGAATGAAAAATGGTGCCCCCTTTATGGAAAAGTCTGGTGGTTCTTCAAGAAGTTAAACACAAAATTACCCTAAGATCCATCTACCACTTTGGGCATGTATATACCCCAGAAAGCTGAAAGCAGGCACTGAAACAGATTCTTGCATCCACATATTCACAGCAGCACCATTAACAATAGCCAAACAGTAGAAACAATCCGATTATCCACTATCAGATGAACGGATAAACAAAATATGGTATGTATGTGTGAACATGTATCACACAGTGAATATTATCAAGCCATAAAAGGGGAAATTCTGATACAGGCTACAACATGGATGAATCTTTAAAACGTTATCCTTAATGTGAAATAAGCCAGAAACAAAAACACAAATATTATAGGACCCTGCTGATATTGGAGACCTGGAGTAGTTTTTAAGAGTCAGAAAGTAGAACAGAGGTAACAGGGGCAGGAGGGAGGAGGGCACGGGGAGTTGTTTCACGGGTTCAGAGTTTCTGTTTGATGAAAAGTTCTCGAAACAGTGGTGATGGTTACACAACATCGTGAATGTACTTAATGCCAATGAACCATACATTTAAAATGGTTAAAATAACAGATTTTATGTTATGCATATTTATTAGAATTGAAAAAGAAACAAATCCAAGGCCAGAACAGGCAGAAAAAAAGGAGAATGTCAGCCAGATTTCTTTGTCTTTCTCCTCTCTTTAATAATACCTTCCTGTCACACTTCCAGTGAACAGTACTTCTAGTTATAAAACAGTGCCTCTGGCAGTGATTAACACCAGATCTTCTTGGGCCAAAGGCTCTGAGATGGCTAGTAAAAAAGACAGGTGAGGAAAGAATCCTAAATGATGTACTATCTCAAAGCTGCAAATTTTTTCTTCCTTTATCTCATAAACACACACATACAGTACTTTGGCAAACTCACTTTTCTTATGACCGCAAGTAATCACTTTAGAAAGCAAAGCTAACAGACCACATTGACCATCTATGACTAGTTAGAAAAATCACTGTTTTGAACTAAGTAAGGTAACCTTTAAATAAGTTAAGCCAGTTATGGAGACACATGCATGTGACTCCTGATACTTAGAAGGCTGAGGCAAGAGAA